GATAGATAGATAGATAGATAGATAGATAGATAGATAGATAGATAGATAGATAGATAGATAGATAGATAGATAGATAGATAGATAGATAGATGATAGGTTTAATTTAGTTTCCCACAAAGCCACTGAAAAAATTCCTCTCTTTAACAATATTAACTCACTATGTTCACTACCTTTAATCTAATCTGTGATCATTTAATCTGCTCAGACAAGATTCATTTTTCCATCAGTGATTTGCATCTGTGTACAGTAATATCACAAATTTAACAGAGAAACTCAGATTATCCCTTTCTATAAATAAGAACAGATGAAAAAAATAAAAGTATTTTTATCAAGTCAAGAAAATTTTGTCAGTAGTGAGTGAAAATGTATTTAAATATGGAGTAACAAAATGCAGAGACGTAAGCCTTAAAATTTGATACTTTTATACAAAGAAATGTGGTTAGGGGATTCATCCTGTAACCGGTGGGTTGCCGGTTTAATCCCCTGTTCTGTCCTTGGGCAAGACACTTCGCCCACCTTGCCTGCTGGTGGTGCATGGCAGCTCCGTCTCTGTGAACCCCAGGGCAGCTGTGGCTACACTGCAGCTTACTACCATCATGTGTGTGAATGGTTGTATGAAGGAGTGACAGAAGTGTAAAGCCCTTTGGAGTCCATAGGGACTTGATAAAGTGCTATATAAGTTCAGGCTATTTAACATTTATACACTAACTACCCCAAGATAGATCAAATCAACAAAATAACAGTGCAGTTCAGTCAAACTTCACATTTCCAAAGATGTTTTCTTAATTCAAAGTGGAAAAATGTGAATGACCAGGTTTTACATTTGCAGCTGAACTCACATGCATATCACACTCCCTCCTGATGGTTGTCCAGTGCATTTCTGAATTTATTTCTATGATAGTTTGAACTTATGTCTTCATGCATGTGACCAAAACATCTCCAATGAAAACCAAGCTGACAAAACCCCTCAAGAGTGAGAGGCAGGAGAATGATCTGCATGTGAGTGAAGCTCTTGCCTCGCTGCAGTTTTAAAGCTTGGGACTCTGTACTTTCCCCCTTGAACTGAGAAAGGACCTTAGATGAAGCAGGAACGTCGTCAAAAGTTGTCATTAAAACAAAACATTATCTGAAGAGTGTTGAAGTCTTTGCACTCCAGCTAATCTGACTCAAATTGATTTGTGAAAACGTTTTTTAAACTGCACAGTCAGAAAATCAAGAAAATGGTCACTGCTGATGTAAGTTTTTCTCATTCCTTCACGTCACGCTTTGTTCGATAAGCGAGTTCTATGATCTGACTGATTGTACAGCAGCTGCAGTTCAGACACTTTTTCGCCCACAGTTAAAATTGGTAATATGACAAAAAAAGATAAAACATCTCCAAAGGCAGCAGTAACAATAGTAACACAATAGGCAAAACTTGGATAGATGCTTCTGTGCTGTTCTGAAAGCGTGGCCTGCGTCAGTTCTCTCAAAGTGCATTCTCCTGTCTCTCTTTTCAAAGGCACTGGACGCTGAAGCTCGACACGCACTCGACGAGAAGAGCCTGGAGTACCACTCGCCTCGTCTCCCACTCGGCCCAGAACAGTGCTTTGCAATCCCAGCATTTGTTCCAACATGCTCAAAATTTGGGTCCTAAGTGAAATTTTTGTCACATGGGAGCACACAAAGCACGCCCATGTGTCTGACAGTGTTTTGTAATATCAGTATTAATGTTACAAACATTTATGAGATGGATTACCTGATTCCGGTGCAGTGGTCTTTATTTGCATAAATAATTTTCACGAGCATTCCAAAAGCCTCGCCAACATAATGGCTCATTTCTGTCAGGCGTCATCATTCAAGCCATGTTTTGGCAAGATGGACTTGATGTGATCATTTCTCTGATGGTTTCCACGAGAATGTCATGATGCCGCTTTTTTTCTCGTAACCAGCGGTGAGCGAAGTGTCAGAGCTGATGGGTCCTCTGCCGGACAACATGAGCCCAGCTTCTCTGAGCCAGAACTGCTCCAACTGCAGCCACATTCTGGCCCCGGGGCTCAGCATGGTGAAAACGGTGGCCCTGGGCACGATTCTCGGCGTCTTCATCCTGTTTGGAGTTATCGGAAACATCCTCGTGATCCTTTCGGTGGTTTGTCATCGACACCTGCGGACCGTCACGCATTATTTCATAGTCAACCTGGCCGTGGCCGACTTGCTGCTGAGCTCCACCGTGCTGCCCTTCTCGGCCATTTTTGAGATCCTGGATCGTTGGGTGTTTGGACGGGTTTTTTGTAACGTCTGGGCAGCCGTGGACGTGCTCTGCTGCACGGCCTCCATCATGAGCCTCTGCGTCATCTCCGTGGACCGCTACATCGGCGTCAGCTACCCTCTGCGTTACCCTTCCATCGTGACGAAACGCAGGGCTCTGCTGGCGGTGATGCTGCTGTGGGCACTCTCTGTCGTCATATCCATCGGACCTCTGTTCGGCTGGAAGGAGCCGGAACCGGAGGACGAGTCCATCTGCAAGATCACAGAGGAGCCGGGATATGCAATCTTCTCAGCTGTGGGCTCCTTCTATCTTCCGCTGACCATCATACTGGTCATGTACTGTCGGGTTTACGTTGTCGCTCACCGAGAGAGCCAGGGCCTGAGGGAGGGCCACAAGACAGAGAAGTCCGACTCGGAGCAAGTGATTCTCAGGATGCATCGTGGAAACACCACTGTATCGGAGGACGAGGCCCTTCGCAGCCGCACTCATTTCGCCTTGCGGCTCCTCAAGTTCTCACGCGAGAAGAAGGCGGCCAAGACTCTGGGGATTGTGGTGGGCTGCTTCATCTTGTGCTGGCTGCCCTTTTTCCTGGTTCTTCCAATCGGTGAGTACTGTTCTGTTTATCTTGCATGGGATTCCTAAACGTGTTCCCTTCAGACATAGCACTGACATCCATTTTGGACAGTGCTAAATACAAGTGTGAACACTTCCAGATGTGAACACTCACACTTAAAGGTGTTCACTTCAGATCAGATCAGCCAGGATGGATGTTAGTAGCAGAGATGAACAGGGCCCATGGATACAGACAGTTGTAAAAGACCTTAACTTGCTATGGAAATATTTGTCCTTAGAGGAGGTCAGTTTTTATGGAATTGCTTTTTTATGGAATTGCTTTTTAATTTTGTTTTAACCCTGTCCCCAAGTAACCAGCATTGTTTGAGCCAAAATAAAGTTGACCAGAAGAAACAATTTGCCCCATGTATGGAATGAAGGATGACTCAGCGTTGACCCCAAAAAAAAAAAAACAGTCCTGGCACTGTAAATCCCAAAGTCACCAATCTATCAAGAAGTCACTTTGCTACATTTGTTGATTCCAAGTCCCACCAACTCCAAAATACCCCTCATCCAAAATATTTGGTGATTTATTTGCAGAAGAAGGACAGATTGAATGACACTCGACCTGCTGGAATGTCGGCGTATCTTAGTCGGCATAACTCACAACTGAACACATTTTGTTGGTTTGAAGTTTTGCCAGAATCAGGGTTTTAAAAGCAGTTTTTAGGGGGTTTAATGCAAATGCAGATTTTGCCACTTAAAGTCAGACCAAGGTGAGCTGTAAGCCCCACAAAATTTTCTTTATTTTCAATCTATTTGCTGAACTGAGTTGAACTGTTAGTCTCTCATCTTTAGAGTCACATTGAACAGGTCAGAGTGGTATAGTCAAAAAAATATATATTATCTTCCCCAAAACTTCACTGTAGCTCCAAAAATAGTACAGATGGTTCATCTAAAGCTTTTAAATTGTGTCATCCATAAGAATTATTCAGTATATTTGACCACTTACATCACTGAGTTGGACCATCTTCAGAGAACTATTAACCTTCTGAATTAAATCGTTTTACAGATCCACTCACCGACCTGTGCTGCTGCCAGATTTTTAAGTTCTTGCACGTTTAATGGTCAGACGGAGGTAATTAAATCACTACATTGTGGGATCACACTGAAGTTACAAGAATCCAGACAAGTCTTGTAAGTCCTCCTGAGGAGGGTACACTTGTAAAAGTAACGGCAGACGCCCTAAAAATAGCCCGCATAAATCTTTTATGTCTCTGACGTCCTACTGTCCTCTCTGTGTGTAAACAAACTCTGAGGATTTCTGACTCACACGTTTTTTAAAGACAGCGTCTTGTCTCACTCGTCAGACCAGCTCTCCTCTCCTGCCTCCTCTGTCCACCCTGTTTGTGACTCACCCCCCACATCACAGCGTCGTCCGTTCAGTGACGGATAAAACCGTGCAGTGGAGTCAGGACTCATACGTTGCTTCATATGTTTGGTGAAGACTTGGGAAATAAGAAGATAAGACATCCTGTGTGTTTCTGTGCTTTCGTGTTCGTTATTATAGCCACTGTCATTTTGTTCCTGACAGGAAACCTCAGCTCAGCAGCGCTCCTGCCTTGATACCACAAGCCTGTAGATGACTATAGATTTAGCGATGACTCATCGAAGGTGTGACATGGAGCCAGCTCATTTTAGATTGACGGACATTGTTATGTTATCAGAGAAAAATAAAGTGTGGGACTTTGAGATGATCTTTAAAAAGATGAGCTTGTTCTTTTTTTGTTTGTTTGGTTTTTTTTTTTTTTTTTTTTGAGTTGTCCAACTCTCTCCTTAATATTTTAGAAGATCCCCCTGCAGGGTTATTTAAAAGTGTAAAATGAGCTGCTAATGAAACAACTTTGGTTTGAATTTTAAACTTTTAATGTTTGGTTTGAGCTGGTCGCTCTCTAGGGTGGGGTGATTAAACAACAAACAGCTTGTTGGTTTTAAAAAAACAAGTGTGAATGAAGATTTTCTCTAATCCACACAGGGTTGAAATTATACAGCCTCAAAATGTAATTCTTTTCTGATTATTTTTGCCTTGTTGTGTTTCACCTGTTCCTTGATAAAAATCCTTTCATGATTTGACTTTTGCTTCTTGAATGAATGCTGACATCTGTTTTTTTCTGTTTGTGTGATTTCCCTCCCTTTATTTTTCCAAATGCTCCTTTTCTTCTGTCTTTTGTTACTTTCTCAACATTTTGTTTCAAACTGAATTGCTTCGTATTCTTGTTTTGTAATCTGCAACAAATCCGCCTTTCTCTCTTTTTTAATATTTCTAAGATTTGATGTCTTCGTATTTGCATGATCAAAATCTCACCAGTTCTTAAAAAAATACAAAAACATGCCCTATGGCGAAACAGCACATTATGCAACTGCTTCCGAACAAGCTTTTTTTCTCTGTCAAAGCATGCTGAGGTTTGATTGAAAGTGAGATAAACCAGAGGCCCCACAGCCACAGATGCTTCATTGATTTTAACCAACATTGCATTTATCTAACCCGTCTATTTTTAGTAACAGAAAAAGGCAGAAATCCATCAGGAGGACTGACAATAGTGGAATTCTTTGTGATACCGGCATGGATAAAATATGCTGAAACCATTCATCACTGCCTCCACTTCCTTACTTTTTACTCCTGTTTACTTTGTGATCACATATTTTCAAAGCTCAAGTTTTTTTTTCACCAGCAGCTGCAGCTGCTCAAATAAACAATTTGACCAAAAAATGAAAACAATCGGTTCCTTTTTAACTATGAAAACACACAACTGGTTGCAAAATTTAATCAGCGGGCATTAAATTATTTTAAATTTTCTCTGACACCCAATGAAAATGAGACAAGTCCTCTAGGCATGCAATAACGAACACGCCTGCGTATAATGTGCCTGCTAAGTCATTACCTTCACTCCTCACTTTCAAGAGCATGTCCCCTAATCAAAGGCAGCACAGTTTATTACCGCCGCTCTATTAAAACTTCAAACCTGGCGGGGAGCAGGGAGCGCAGAGGAAATAGGAAATTTTTATGAATTACAAATAGTGTCGGCAGATTGTGTTTAATTCATTCACCTTCCGGTGAAAAACCGCAGAAGTGGCAATCAAACATTTAGAATAGACTCTGAGCTGCTTAGGGGAGGTTCAGTTTATTATTTTCCTGAGCTTTCCTTGAGCTTATTGGAGAAATCTGATGATGTTTTGCCCTCACCAGCACATCTGTTGCTTGTTTGTTGCTGAAATAAGCTTCACATCTTGCATGAAATCAGATATTCAGATGTTGTTCCTACAAATCATTTTGTTGTCTTGGATTTTCTTCCATGTTTCATCCTAAATTTGCCTGTGTTGACAATTTTTTCCCCCTCAACATTGTTGCTCCTTCCCGCTCAAGCATGTGTCTCCTGTCCCCACAGGTTCCATATTCCCTGCTTACAGACCTTCAGACACTGTCTTCAAGATCACCTTCTGGCTCGGTTACTTCAACAGCTGCATCAACCCCATCATCTACCCATGCTCCAACCAGGAGTTCAAAAAAGCTTTCCAGAGTTTACTGGGAGTTCACTGTTTGAGGATGGCTCCCCGGACGCACCACCACCATCATCTGAGTGCAAGTCAGAGTCAGACTCAGGGCCAGAGCCAGGCCCTCACGCTGAGCCTGGACAGCAGGGGGGCTTCCTGCAGACTCAGCCCCTCCTCGTCCATAGCTCTGTCCAGAACTCCTTCCTCCAGAGACAGCAGGGAGTGGAAAGTGTTTTCTGAAGGCCACGTCAACGGCAGAGCTGGGCAAGCCAAAACGAGCGGAGCGAAAGTGGCCAAGCTCTGCAACAAAAACTTCCAACGGACCTGCTGCTGCATCCTCAGAGCTGGGGGTCCCCCTCAGGAGCCCCCTCCGATCACACAGCTTCCAACGATTAAAATCCACCAGTTGTCCCTGTCGGAAAAAGGAGATGCTGTATAATCACTGTAATCGTTCATGCATTATTTATTACTTTTCTTTAAGGTCAAGAACGGAATTTTTTTGTGTCAGCTTCAAGAATGAAATTTCAAATACCTCAGCTTTATTATTTTTTTTACCACATGTATTATTTACACACTATGTGAGTTTAAAAGGATGAACAAAATTACAAATGTTTACAATTTAAATGTATAAAAAAGTTTTATTATTTTTAATGGCCGCAGAAGTATTAAATATTTTGGTTTTCCATGTTTGCTTATTGTGATAAAGCTGTGTACTGCTCTTTTCTATAGTACACACTACAAACTGCTGGGTTCAAAACAATCCAATGTGGGTCAAATTTGGACCAAGTCATCCCTGAATAGTTTCAACTCAGCAAGTTATTAATGTGATCTACCATACCCAGTTAAGCTTTCAACCTGTAATTTGAGTTTAAGTGATTAAATTGTTTAATTAGAGCACGTGTCAAACTCGAGGCCCATGGGCCAAATGTGGCCATGGATGACTCCCGTCAATATGACGCCTACATATTAGGGGTGTCCCAATACCAGTTTTTTCAAGACTGAGTACAAGTACGAGTACTTCAGTTTAGGTACTCACCGATACCGATACCAAGTAGCGGGGTTCGTGTGGATTATCTGTTCAACTTGTTGAATATTAAACAGAATGAAAATGAAATGCAATTATCATGCAAAAATTGATGGGTAAATATTATGTTTGACAATAAAAAGGTAGTGCAAACTCTGCCAAGTAGATAAGTTGGTATATATTAATCACACCATAACTTCTGAAACCATTTATTTTATTTCAAACAGGCTCTTTTTTATAAGTCCACACTCCCTCTGAATGTATTAACAAWACAAATACTGCAAAACAAATGCTGTTGCATACATTAAAAAACAAAATTAGTTATTTTTATACATTTTCCTCAACATGCAACAACCAAATTTAAATTAAAATGTAAAACGTAAATTTTAGCAGCACATCTATAGAAGTTTACTCTGCTTCAGTCTTAAACTGTTTAAAAAATGACTAATAGTAATAAAGTGCAGTAAATTTCAGTTCAAACTTAAATGGAACAACTAAAACAAAATCTCAGAAGAACCACAGTGAAAAATAAAATGTTTTTACAACAAACTTCCTTCCATGTTCTGCTTATGTCTTAGTTTGTTCTACAAGAAAGAAAAAACAGCACTGAAGTTACTGCAACAACTGCTGCATACAGTGCTGTTTATGAAGGCTACTGCTAGCAGCAGCAAACTCTTTGAATTCTTTGTCATGTCTTGTCCTCAAATGTTGAATTAAATTGCTGGTGTTAAAACATCCAACTTTTGCTCCTCCCCCTGACAGTTAGCAGAGCACAGGTGTCAGTCTGCTTGTGTGGTGTCCTCCGTGCCGATCTTAAAATATCTCCAAACTGCCGACTTTACTTCTTCTTCTTCTCATCGTTCTTCTTCTGTTATTCGAGGGTACGGTCGGAAATAACTTGTCAGTGCGTTAGCGCCCCCGCCTGGTATGGATTGTTGTTTACCCTTTGCAGCGCAGCACAGGAGGAACAAAAAAGGGGACAAAAGCGGTATCGGTTAAGAGTATCGGCCGGCTTTTATGAGTACGAGTACGAGTACTTGATGCTCTACTATATATGCTGCAGAGAATACTCCCAGTTTGTATGTGTGCAGAAAGAGGCAACATTGCCAATGCAATCATTGACACTAAACTGCAATCTATTACAGCAATAGGCAATAGAGCAATATTAGGACAATATTAAAGTAAAACATCAACTCTAAGTTGTGAAGGCACCAAAAGTCATAGCCATCATTTGGCACAGGAGCTTAACAGATATAAATTACAATGGCAGCTGTAGGACAAAGTACGCAGGAGGAGAAGCCTGCCAAAGTGGAGATGACTTGGATGGGAAATGAATCACAATATTGTGCATTGCATTGGATGCAATGCACACTGATGAACAGCACAATTATCCTGTCATGTGAACCAGGCTTTACTTGTAACATCCTAAAGCAGAGATCCAGTTGGCTCCAATTTGGTCAGCTTCTGGCTTAAAACGGCAGACTATGAAAAATGACTGATTAAACCATTGGGTCAAACATTTTGATCCAAAATTTGGCCAAACCAGCCAACAGTTTTCACTCAGCACTTGAGTTATCAAAATAACCCAGCAGCTTTTAGTGTGTCCAAAACCAAGGGACCTCACATACCTTTGGATCATTTACAATAAATTTGTAAGACAAGTTCCCAAGAAAGGACATTTTTGAACCT